TCCAGCCCCATCCTGGGCTCCCCCGCCTGCCCCCTGCGCCCAGAGAAGGGGCCACCAGGTCAGGGTGCGGGGAGGCCACTCCTCAGCACAGACTCCTTCCTCCGTCCCCCTCGCTCACTGAGCCCCAAGCAAACGGCCATTTGAGCTCCGGTTTTTCTTGTGAAACGGACGTCGGGAGCTGGGAATAACGCTAACTCTTGACCATGAGCCGGTCCTGTGGGCCTCACGTCGCCCCCTCGCCCGGGGCAGGGGCCTCTGTGGTCTCCGACCCCCACGTGCCTGCCCGGCCGCCCAGCACCTGCCCGCTCAGACCCAGAAAGGAGCGAAACCTCTGGACCCAGATAGAACCGCGGGATCTAGTTTTCAGCGTCACTTAGACCCTCGGCGGCCTCTCCCTCCTGCTCGCGGGCTGACAGCTCTGCGGGAGCGTGTTGAGCCACCCGGATCCTCTCCTGCTCGCACCCTGGCCGCTGCCTCCCCGCTGGCGCTTCTGGGGATGCAGTTCCCAGGGGAGGACGCTTCTCTCCCTGCCCGGCGGCGGGATGGGGGGCCGGGCCGTGTCCCCGTGGAGCACAGGCCCGCGAGGACGTCCGGAGCCTCTCGTTCTCGTGTCCTCGGAACAGCGTTTCCGACCGTAAATGACACTCACCGGGCGGCAGAGGACACCGGTCGCCCTGAAACAGGGTCCTCAAAACCGACATCGAAAGCAAGCGGGGGCCCCGGCCGCTGGAGCCCACGGCGGAGCTCGGGCCCTCGGACCCAAGCGTACGGGTTTGGTGCCAGTCAAGGGCACGGACCTGGGTTGCAGGCTGGATCCCTGGCCCTGGTCGAGGTACGTGCAGGAGACAGCCAGTCAGTGTGTCTCTCTCACGTGGATGTGTCTCTGTGTGTGTCTCTCCCAGTGAGAATGGGGTCCCTTTCCTGCCCTGGGCCTGGGGGGTGAGCACGGTCCCCGGTGGATTTCAGGGGATCTCCTTCCCGCGTTGTGTGGGGGGAGACTGCCACCTGCTGGCCACTGCGAGGAGCAAGTGTTTGCAGAGCGCTTTCTCCCCTGGGCAGCTCTCGGAGGGGACAGGGCAGGGGAACAGGGGCACCTCCAACCTGCAGGCCCTGCAGGGGTGAGATGAGGGGGGAGGGCCAGGCACTCCTCAGGGCCCAAGAAGGAAAGGCAGCACCGAGGGGAAGGGCTCAGCCGGCACAGGGATGGGCCCTGGGGGGAAGCAGGTGCTGTCCCAGAGCCCGACAGGAACAGGCGTGAGGCAGCCTGTTAGGAGCCAGGCTGGGCTTTCCTCTCGGTGGTTCCTGCCCGCGGACGTGCTCCGCCTGGAACAGTCTTTCCTTTCCCGAGCCCTTTCATCCGAGCACAGGTCTGTTCCTCTCCCAGGTCTCAGCACCCGCAGCCTCCCCTCCACCTGTGTGGGGCCTGCCCCGCGCCACGTCCACGCCTCCTTCGTGTGGGAGCAGCGTTTATTTCGGAGAAGCAACCTCTTCCGTCCTCAGTGTCTGCGACTCGGGCAGCTGAGCCCATCCCGGGCCCGGGTGTGGGCATGAGACAGGCCGGCCAGCAGCCGAGCGCGTGACAGGCTCAGGGCTGAGCACGGGACCCGCGTCAGCCCAGAGCTGTGGCCTGGAGCCTCTGCGGGGATCGCCCGGGTTCCCATCGGGAGCCGGGCTGGTGGGCTGTGAGCCCAGGGCTGCTGGCAGCCACTCTGCGCCGCGAGGAGGGCAGGAGGCAGCCGTCCGCCTGGCACTCCCCCCCTCCTCCCCCCGGCTTCCCTCCCGGAGCCGCCGAGCCCCTTTGCCGGGAGTCAGTGTGAGGCCCTCCCCGCAGCTGACGCAGAGAGCAGAACGGGGCGACTTTTTTTACTTTTATTCTTTTTTACAAAATCAGTACATCATTGGCAACACTTCACACAAACAGGCCGAGAATCACAGCCTGGTGAGAGCGCTCCACACGCCCGTGAGAGACACGCGGACCCTCGCGGTCTCGGAGGACGCTGGGGTCTCAGGTTTGGGGGCCACAGAGCGGCCGTCCAGGCTTCAGTCCCGTCTCCTACACCTGCGCCCCTCTGCCACGTCCGCCCGGCTCTCTGCCGTCTCTGCCCCCGCAGGCCGCGGGCTGTCCGCTGGGGACCCGTCGCCCTCAGCCCTGCGAAGTGGCCGTCCTCAGCAGGGCTGCAAACATGGACCCCGGCTTCCCCTGTAGGGCCTCCGGCCTGTCGAACTCCACAACCTGGAGAGGAGGAGGGAGGGACAGGGCACCGCTGAGCCCCGGCCCAAAGGCCCCGCCGGCCTCCCGGGCGCTGGCCGAGGGCGCCCTCCCCGCGGCCCGGAACGCCCGTCACCTTCCCGTTGTCCATGACCAGGATGCGGTCGCAGCTGAGCACGGTGGTGATGCGGTGGGCGATGATGAGCACCGTGCAGCCCCGGAAGGCCTCGCGGATCGTGCGCTGGATCAGCGTGTCGGTCTCCGTGTCGATGGAGGCAGTGGCTTCGTCAATGAGGATGATCTGGTGGGGACAGAACCGGTGGCAGCAGGGCTAGGCTGGGCTGGCTCAGTGAATAGAGCGTCGGCCTGCAGACCGAAGGGTCCCAGGTTTGATTCCCGGTCAGGGCACAGGCCCGGGTTGTGGGCTTCATCCCCAGTGTGGGGCATGCAGGAGGCAGCCGGTCCATGATTCTCTCTCATCATAGATGCTTCTCTCTCTCTCTTGCCCTTCCCTTCCTCTCTGACATCAATAAAATAGATTATAAAATAAATAAAAATTAAAGAGAACAGGTGGGGGTGGCCTTGTGGGCCTGAGACCGGGTCTGGTCCTGGGCCGGCCACCAGCTCCGGAGACACGGAGAGCTTTGGGCTGAGTCCGGGCCCCGCTGGCTCCCGGGCCTGGTGACCCCGCAGCCCTGCCCGCCGAGCAGGACATGCTTAGCGACCAGAGAAGTCATTCTTGGCGGCGGCGCGGGGGCAGGTCCTGCTCTAGGGACCGCCTTCCTCTTTGCAGGACGTACAGGAGCTGCCACCAGCCCAGGAGGAGGGGTTTCCTGGGTGTCGCTGGTTACGGTCGGGCACCGTAGAAAGAGGGCGTCGCGAGTAAACCAGCGGCCACGGGTGTGACAAAAGCCACCCGTGCACGTGTGAGTGTGCAGGGTGTGCCCGTGTGTATGTGTGTCCCTGCACATGTGTGTGCACGTGTGTGTGTGCTTCTGTGTTTGCCTCTGGCTTGCTTGTGAGAGGAAGCACGCTCCTAAGAGCCCACGCAGCCGCGGTGAGGTGACGGTGACATTGTCTGGGAACAGTGACAGCGTTTCAGACCCAGGGAACTCCCTGGACGGCCGATGCGAGTCCCCCCTAAGCAGGCAGGGATGCGTCCCGTGTTTTAAGGGGGTCGTGTGTGGCAGCTGTGAGGCTCTGGCCTCAGGCTTTCCGGGTCTGGGGCAGTCGGACTTCGGCGTGGGTGCGGGATGTGGGACTGAGGGTCCGGGCTGAGCCCCCAACACACACGCACACACACACGTGCGCACACATGCGCACACGCACACGCACGCATGTGCGGGCCATGGCGCTGGGCGCCGCACCTTGGAGTTGCGCAGGAGGGCACGGGCGATGCAGAGCAGCTGCCTCTCCCCCACCGAGAAGTTCTCGCCGTTCTCCTCCACCTCCGCCTGCAGCCTTTGCGGAAACTTCAGGATCTGCGAGTCGGGCAGACAAGGGAGGTCACGCGGGCCTGCGGGCGCTTTTTTCTCGGGCGGCCCCTGTGCCTGGCGCCCCTCCTCGTCTCTCTGCGCCACTCTCCTCCCCACCCACACCCGCAGGATCCCGCAGCGCCAGTGCCCTGTCCTAGAGGCCTGGTCACGGGCCTTTGCCTATCCCCCCTCCCCCACCTCTGCTGTGTCCTCAGCCTACACTGAGCCTGCCCCCTGGTGTCCCGGTGTCGTCCCATCTCATGAGACGGGTCCTCCATGCGGAGCGCGTCCGTAGTGCTGGGTGGGAGGCGCCTGCCGGAGAGGCAGCCAAGCCCGGCCCCGGCTCCGCTCACCGTCCTGCTCAGGAAGGTCCTCTCCAGGGCGCCCCAGATCTGCTCGTCCGTGTGCCGGTCAAAGGGGTCCAGGTTCAACCTGCCCAGGGAGGAGGCTGTGCTCAGTAACCACCCGACGGGGGCAGCCTGTCCCGTCCCCGGCGAGGGCGAGGGCCCGGGGTTACAGAAGCCACGGACCCTGCGATGGGCATTTCCCTGGCCGGGTGGTACCTGTCTCTTCTGCAGGCAGCAGCCGGGTTCTGTCTGGGGCCACCTGTCCCCCAGCCCCCAAGCCCAGGGGCTTAGGTGGGGCTCTCTCTCGGGGGTCAGCACGCAGCAGCCCCTGGCCACGGAGGTCCCGGCTGTGGGGACCAGCCGGTGGAAGTCACCACAGAGAGGGACTCGGGACGTTTGGGGCGATCCCTGCAGAAAGGTCTGCTGCGCCTCTGACTGACAGGAGAGGCTCAGCCGTCCCCCAGGAGGGACGCGGGGAGTCCCCGAAGCCCTCGCTGAGGCCCGGAGATGACTGCCTTGGACCCGCCTCGGTCTCCCCAGGATCACAGCTGAAAGAGGACTTTGTAGCTTAGCCGTTGGCGGTGTGTGTGTGTGTGTGTGTGTATGTGCTGGTTAAAACACACGTGACATGTTTGTCCTTGTAGCCGTCTGTGAGCTACGATTCAGTGGCATTAAACACATTCCCATGTGTGTGACCACCCCTGACACTCACCATCCTCAACAAACACCCCGCCTCCGACAACTGCCCCTAAAATCTTAAAGAATGGATTTACTTCTCCCAGAAAAAGTGGGGCTGCTACCGAACAGGCGTGAGGAAATGGTGCGGCCTGGTGTTTGGTGATAGGCCGCAGGCGGTAGGAGGGCAGCGCTGGGGGGTGTTCCTGCGAATGCGTGAGACCAGGAGAGCGCCCGCCCGGCAGGGCTCAGTGGCTGAGCATCAACCCATGAACCAGGCGGTCACAGTCCGATTCCCGGTCAGGGCACAGGCCTGGGTCGCGGGCTCAATCCCCAGTAGGAGGCCTGCAGGAGGCAGCCGGTCCGTGATTCTCCCTCATCATGGATGTTTCTATCTCTCCCTCTCTCCTCCTCTCAGAAATCAATAAAAATATATTTAAAACAAACAAACAAACAAAAACGAACACTTTGCAAATGTTCGGGCACTGAAGTCTACCAGGTGTATACCAGGGTCTCTGTTGATCTTCAGACGCCGCTCATGAGGTGGGCCAGGTAGGCACGAGGGGCCCAGGAACGGACAGCCCTCCAGCCCTGACCTCCGGCCCTCTCCCCCGGGGGCCCAGGCCAGCACGCACCTGATGGTCCCCGAGAACAGGACGGGGTCCTGAGGGACGACGGACATTTTGGACCGCAGGTCCTCCAGGCTGACGCCGCTGATGTTCACGCCGTCGATAAGGATCCGGCCCGCCGCGGCCTCCACCAGGCGGAAGAGTGCCACCCCCAAGGAGGACTTCCCTGTCGGGGCGGGAACAGCAGGGCGTCGCTTCCTGAACCCGCCCGGGGCGGCACAGGGGACCCCCGACGCGCACTCCTGCGCACTCCCGCCAGCCTCCTGGGTCCTTCGAGACGCTCCTCACCCCTGCACTTCCCTCCTCTGTTTCCCTGTCTGATGACTCGCCCGCCACCTGTCCCTCCCCGGGGCCATGACAGCAGGGACGCCGGGTGCTACTGGCCGGTGTCTGGGACAGGACCCAGCATGACGGGAGGGTCAGCGAACCCCTGCCTGAGAACAGGTGGACACCCCGAGGCCCACATGGAGGAGGAGGTGCCCGGACGTGCCGCTCACCGGAGCCGGTCCGGCCCACGATGCCCACCACCTCCTGGCTGCGGATGGTCAGGCTGATGCCCTTGAGGACGATGGGGGTGTTGTCGCGGTATCTCATCTGATAGTCCTGGAAGCAGACCTCCCCGCGCTGCGGCCACCCGGCCGGGCAGCTCGCACCTCCCACATGCGGCGGAGCCTCGGGGACGCACAGCTCGTGTTTGAGGAAAGAGAAGGAAGTCGGTCGTTACCACCCGCCTCTGCCCAGCCCTGCGGACCTCGGCTGCGCCCGGAGCGTGGGACCACCCCAGCCACCCGGCCTCGGGGTCAAGCCCCTGGCTGGGTGATCAGAGGGACCCCCCAGGCCATCCCTGCCCCCAGCTTTGTCCCCAAAGAGGGGGACGCCCTAGAGCTGCGTCCTTGCTGTTAACACAGAGAACTCTAACGCAGGGCCCACCTGCTGTGGCACAAACAGACGCGGCCGCACACCAGGCCTCGCTGTCGCCCCTGCTCTCCGACGGGGCAAACCCCCATTTCTACGAGGGGAAGATCACCCCCTCCACATCCGGGATGCTGACCCGCGGAGAGGACAGCGGACATGAGCCGCCAGGAGTGGAGGAGCCCCCAGGAGAGAGGAGACA